GGACATCACCGCGGGGCGCGCGCAGCGGCCGCCGTCACCCGCGACAAAGACTCGCGGAACACTGAGTCATTAACAGTGTAACCATGCGCTGCGATACGGTTCACGGGTGTCGTGTTCATCAACGGAGAAGATCGTGTTTTCACCACCAATTTTCCACTGGAAAACGTAGAGCGAGTTTTCTTGCCCGATAATAGAGCGACGAAATGGCTTCATCACTCTGTTAGAGCGATTTTTGCGAAATGACTCAGTCTGAGTCTGTTTCGTACACTGGAAACGCAAGTGCGTAAATGTCGCACACTTGTAGGTGTGTGAATATCCATTTAATTTGTACACTTCGGGGGGTAAACGTGTGAAAAAAGGTTTACAATTACAGAAAAGCCTAGTGCGGGGTACAATCGATTAAACATCGTTTAGATCCCATTCGCCCCAAAAAAGATGTTTGCTATGAAAAGAGTTTGGCTTCAGCCTTGTTTTAAGGAAACGATTTTCTGTGTGGGTATCACTCCGTGCGCTACACGACACGGGACCCGTCCCATCAACACGCGTGTGCACGCACTCGGGCTGCGCCTCAAACACTTCACAGTCGGATACGCACCGTTCGAGAGGTGTGCATGACGCCGATGGAGCGATAAGTAGCCCCTCCTACCCGGCCGGGACCCGCGCGTGTCGCAGGGGGGAGCATATTATTCAACAGGTCCCCCCCTTACTCTCTCTCCCTCCCGCCACCACCTATTCATCTCCATCTCTCTCTTTACTCTCCAACAAACGAGCCCCCAGGGGCCCGCTTATGCTCGGCCACACGATGTACTGCACGGCACACATGACTCCAGCCAGTGTGAACCGCCTGTCTACAGTATCTCACTCGTCCCATCTCTCTCTCTCTCTCTCTCTCTCTCTCTCTCTCTCTCTCTCTCTCTCTCTCTTCCCCAGAACTGTCAATCTCCCCTGCACCATCGTGAACCTGTCGCACGGGTCCAGAGGTTCCCACGGGCTCCTTAGCCTCCTCGCCCGCGATGACAGTTGCACAGCGCCATGCCGGGCCTCGCCGCGGGCGGCACGGGGCTCGCCGCCTCTCTTCTGTACTCATCGACGAGCGATACGACGCATCCCAACTAGATGCTGCACAACGATGGACACACACACTAAAAAAAATCAACTACAGATGGATCGAACAAGTGGCGGGCGTATTTCATTATTTGTCCAAAGCAAGAGTGCAATCCTCACCCCCCCCCCCTCTCTCTCTCCCTCCGATCACCCTTACACTAAACTTCTTTTTTTTTTGTGAACCTCCACAACGACGGTATGGGTCCTCCCCCGGGTCCCCACGGGTCCCGGCGTCGGAGACACGCTGCTGCCCCTCCTGCCGCCGCACAAACTTTCCAAAAGTCCCCGACAAAGTCCTCGCCTCAAAGTTCGGGAAAGACAGGCGCGCGCAGGAGACAGGGAGGTCCCGGCTCGCCCCGCCAAACGTGCGCCGTGCCAAGCAGCAGGCACCTTGCTTCCCAAAAGCTGAACCTCTACACTGCCCAGCAAAAACAATTAAAAAAAATTGAATTGAAAAAAAAAATAAAACAAAAACAGAAAAAACATTTTAAAAAAGGGGGAATCGGCGGCTCGGCGTTCGTTATCTCTGCCGAGATTGCTCCGTTATCTCAAAGTGTTCGCCGACTAACAACCCCCACATTACCTGGGGGGAACCCACCACCGCAGGTGTCGCTGCTCCTCTCTCTCTCTCCCTAAAGAGGAGCAGGTGCATCCAAACCCACAGCCAGCGCGCGCTGCTGGGAGGGAAATCGTCGCGAAAGAGAGTCGTCACACCCCATAACGATCGAGAATGTGGCCGCGCGCAGTCAGCACCTCGGCTTCGCCACCTCTTCGCCGCCGTTACTCTGCGCCACCACCCTTAACCTGACGATCCGTTTTATTGAGCGCACTGTGCTCTTTTTTTTAAATATATTTTTATTTATTTTCCTGCGTATGTTTGCCTCTTTCCCTCTTTCCTTTTTCATTATTCGGGCAGCACAGTGGCGGGTGGTTCGCCGTTATCGGTGTGTCAAAGGGACGCTGCTGGTCGCCGCCATGGCGCCCGCAGCGTGTAGGGGTGGGGCGGCAGCCGGGGCGGCAGCACACAGCTCAGGCCCCCGCGCCAGACTCCCGCCCTACCCGACAAAGCGCCGTGCGGGGAGGCCAACCCGCCCGGCACAGCGCCGCACAGCGCCGCACCCGACCACACGCCCGCCCCTGACCAACACTACCGCGTTCAAAATAAAAGTGTATCGCGGCCGATATTTTATTGCTCGGAACGGAAAGAGAGAGGGAGAGGGGTCAAAAAGGAAAGAACGAACCGTTCTGTCACTGCGAAATGTTTCATTACCATCCGTGTTTAATTTTTTTTTTTTGCGTGCTTGTGCTCTGTGTTTATTTTTTCCCGTTTTTTTAATCTTTCCTTTTGGTTTTGTTTTAGCTGTATTGCTTTTTCGTTGGTTTTTGAGCCTTGCACGAGGCTCGGCGCGGCGGGGTCACGCAGTGATTATCGTAAGAGATGCGACGTCATGTCTTAATATCTTCACCCACTTAATGAATATTGCCGACGCACTGGAAAATAAAAGTCTCTATAATTTGGTAAAAGACAAGATTCCACCCTGCTGGCTGGTCCTTTTGCAAATATAAATGGACGAACTTCGGTCACACAGCGAGTAGTGCATACTATGGGGAGTCTGTTGGGCGAAGCAAGTTGACACACGAGGGGGCGCAGCGTAGCGCGGCCTCTGCAATGAGACAGTCTTAAATACCACCCCATTTACGACGGGTCGGGGGCTGTGGGTGGGGGAGAGAAGGGGGCAGATGCCTGCGCATTCACGAGGGCAATGGCGGGTATTACTCCCCGCCCACCCGACCTCACAGCTCGCAATCTGAATGGGAGGGTTGTTCGTTACGGCGAAGGATAAAACAACCCCGAGAAGAGGAGTGAATTTCGGGATTTTGCGGGGATGAGTAGTGCTCCGTTCAATGACGGCCCAAGCAAGCAACAATGTATTTAATTTTTACAGTGTTCGTCTTATCCTTTTTTCGACTGCTGAGAAAACGACTCGCAAGAGTGACAGGAAATAAGTTTATGAAAGAAAAAGAAGTCGTACGCAATGGAAAAACAAGTGTGACACGTGGCTTGTGTTCATCGTGCACTCTCAGGAGAGAACGTTAGGATAGGGGCATCACAGAGAGAGTGCATCAAGAGACGTGACACATGTCACATTAAGTTTTTTTCTATAGATGCAGGATGCTTAAATTCGTGAATAAAATTGGCTAAATTACCAACTAGCCACAAATTTGCATTGAAGAGTCACAATTTACTCAGTTTATTTTGTTGATACATTAAAAATGCGCACATTTTGAATGCATTTGATTATTTTCAGTGCATCCTCTGCCGCTCACCCTTATCACTGCGCCCCCACCCCC